GGACCGTCACTGCCGCGTGTTTGCACTGCTGCTTTTCCTCTGCAGAGGATTCCCCGCGTGGGGCCTCGTCCACCATGGCCAAGCCCACCAGCAAAGACTCAGGCCTGAAGGAGAAGTTCAAGATTCTGCTGGGGCTGGGGACCCCACGACCAAATCCCAGGGCTGCAGAAGGCAGACAGACAGAGTTCATCATCACCGCCGAAGTCTTGAGAGTGAGTGAGCCGCCTGGCTTGGGCAGGCCCGAGGCCAGGGCCGGGAAGGCTGGATTAGGTCTGTCGGCAGGTTCTGTGGGAGATGCATTGTTGGTGACCTCGTGCTATCCTCAGGCCTAGGGGGACAGACCTTCAGAGGATCACTGGGATCACTTGGAACGCTGACAGTCAGATCTGGTGGCATGCTTGCGGGAGCATACTTGTGTTAGAATGCAGGTGACACATAGATGTGGCCTGGACACTTTCTTCATCTTTACAGGTGGCTAGGGATAGGGCCGGGTTTTAACTGGTAATTTGTGAATTCTTGAGAGAACACTTAAAATTTTTTTTTTTTTAAATTTTGGGTGGTGCTGAGGTCTTTTTCCTTCCTTCCTTCCTTTTTGGTCAGTCATGGGGCTTGAAATCTGGGCATGGTGCTGGTTCCTTTGCTCTTCAGCTCAAGGTGAATGCTCTACCACTTGAGCCACAGCGCCACTTCCAGTTTTCTAGTGGTTTATTGGAGATAAGTCTCATGGACTTTCCTGCCCAGGCTGGCTTTGAACCGAGATCCTCAGATCTCAGCCTCCTGAGTAGTTAGGATGACAGGCATGAGCCACTGGCACCGGGCTCTGAGGTCTTCTTACTATCCTACTCCTATCCATTTTGTTTTATCTTATTTTATTTTCAGTTGTGGGGCTAGAACTCGGCACGAGTACTGTCCCTGAGCTTTTTTTGAACTAACAGCCTCAACAATTTTCACTTGCTTTATTGCTCACAGCTGGCCCTCTACACACCACACCTGCAGCATAGGACCTTTCTATATAGCCCAGGCTATTCTAAATTTGAGTTCCTTCTGTGTTAGTCTCCCAAATGCTGAGATTACAGGCATGTATCACCATGCTTGCTCATTTATGTGTATATGTGTTTGTCTTAGTCTCGGGGCTTGAATTCAGTTTTTTTGTTCAAGGCTGGTATCCTACCACTTGAGCCACACCTTCCCTTCTGACTTTTTGCTAGTTAGTTGGAGATAAGAAATTTGTCTACTTCAGGCTGGCTTTGAACTGGGGGCCTTCATGGACTGGGGTGTAGCTCAGTGGCAAAGAGCTTGTCCAGCAAGGGCAATGTCCTGCGTTCCATCCCAAGTACCACAAAAGAATGAACTGGGAGCCTCAGATCTCAGCCTTCTGAATAGGTAGGATTGATTAAAGGCATGAGCCACTCAAACCTAGCCCGCCTCTACTTTTCTTTTCTTTCCTTTTTTTTTTTTTGGGTCCTGTCATGAGGCCTGAACTCTGGGCCTGGGCGCTGTCCCTCAGCTCTTCAGCTCAAGGCTAGCGCTCTACCATTTGAGCCACAGTATCACTTTCCGGCTTTTTTCTTTTTGCTTATGTGGTGCTGAGGAATCGAACCCAGGGCCTCAGAGGCATGCAAGGCCAGCGCTCTACCACTGAGTCATCTTCCCGGCCCTTGCCTTTACTTTTCTATGAATATTTGAATTGAATCCTCTAACCTGGCTCATAAAGAAGTAAATGTTAGCCAGGTGTGGTAGGTCACTCTGTAATTCTAGCTGCTCAGGAAGCTATGATCTGAGTAATGTGGTTCAAAATCAGCCAGGGCAAAAGAGACTTACTTCCAATTAACCAGCCAAAGCCAGAGGTGGAGATGTGGCTCAAGTAGTAGAGTGCCAGCCTTGAGGGGAAAAAAGCCAAGCAATACTGAGAAGCCCTGAATTGAAACTTGCACAGGAGGAAAAACAACAACCAAATAAATGTTGAATGTTTGCTCTTGTAATACTTTCCACAGAGAAACATCCCAAATACTCCTTGATTGATAAGGGTATTAGTAAAACGTGGTACGGGATATAACGGGGTGTGATTCTGCAATAGAAAGCATGGCATGCATCAGTGAACACTGAAATCATGCTAAGGGAACAAAGCTGCTCATAGAGATCTTCATAATACATGAGCTCATTTGTTTTTGTACTTGTTTGAGGCCTTGAACTCCAGACCTCCTGCTCTCATTCAGCTTTTCCATTCACAGCCAGTTCTTTACTACTTGAGCCATACATACCTCCAGTTTCTGGCTTTTTGAGTCCTAAGGATTTATCTGCCTAGGCTGGCTTCAAACCTCGGTTCTCAGACTTTAGCCTCCTGGCATCTGGGATTACAGGCCCGAGTCACAGATGCCAGGCCACGTGAGCCCAATTTTATGAAATGTCCAGATAGGCAAATACAAAGATACAGAAAGCAGACCACTGATTGTTGGGGCTGTGTGGAGGAAGGAATATTAGTGTAGTTTCATTTTGGAGTGATGAGGGTGTTTTTAAGGTAGTGAAGATGGATGTAAGCATCGAGAATATACCAAAGCCCAAGTTTTACAATTAAAAATTACTATTATTGCCAGTCCTTGGGTTTGAACTTGAGTCCCTAGTGCTGTCCCTGAACTTTTTTGCTCAAGGCTCTGTTCTGCCATTTGACCTATCACTCCACTTCTGTTGTTGTTGTTTTGCTATTGTTATTTTGGTGGCTAACTGGAGGTGAGAGTCTCATGGACTTTGCTGACCAGGCTGGCTTCAAACCATGATCCTCATATCTCAGCTTCCTGAGTATCTAGGATTATGATTATGAGCTAAAATTACTGTATTTTAGGGGTGTGTGTGTGGGGGGGTGGTGGTATCAGTGTTTGAATTCAGTGCTCTACCATTTGAGCCATGCCCCCAGCCTTGTGGGTTTTTTTTTTTTTTTTGCCAGTCCTGGGGCTTGAACTCAGGGCCTGGCCACTGTTCCTGAGCTCTTTTGCTCAAGGCTAACACTTTACCACTTGAGCCACAGCTCCCCTTCTGGCCGTTTCTGTTTATATGGCACAGAGGAATTGAATCCAGGGCTTCATGAATGCTAGGCAGACACTCTACCACTAAGTCACATTCCTAGCCCCAGCCTTATGTTTTGGGAGTTACTCTGGCGATGAAGTCTGGTGGGGTTTTCTGCTCATTCTGGTATCCAACTGCTATCCTCCAGATTTCAGGCTTCTGAGTAGCTAAGGGTAACAGGAGTGAGCACCCAGCTTACATTACAAGCTTTATCTCCATAAAACCTGCAGGTATGAAACACAAAGCTGCCCACTGTCAGTCCACAGAGGAGGAGCAATGTGCGCTCAGGGAATCCTGACTATGTAAGGATCCGCTGTAGATGTCCAGTCTGGAAAGGACGGAACGGCTCCTGGCCACTCAGAGACCTGAGCACTGGCCCCTTTCTCTTCTTTCTCTCCTCTAGGAACTGAGTGTGGAATGTGGCCTCAACAATCGCATCCGGGTGATAGGGCAAATCTGTGAAGTAGCAAAAACTAAGAAATTTGAAGAGGTAGGTTTTTTTTCTCAGTTGTGCATGTCAGCTGCCCCTCAGAAGCCTCATTTGATTTTTTTTTTTTTTTGTCGGTTGTGGAGCTTGAACTCTGGGCTTGGGCACTGTCCCTCAGCTCTTCAGCTCAAGGTGAGTGCTCTACTGCTTGAGCCACAGCACTACTTTTGGTTTTCTAGTGGTTTTCTAGGATATCATAGTCTCACGGACTTTCTTGCCGGGACTGGCTTTGAACCATGATCCTCAGATCTCAGCCTCCTGAGTAGCTAGGATGACAGGCGTGAGCCATTGGTGCCCGGCAGGTTTGCTTTTTCTAAGATCATAGCTATAGCTAGCTATAGGATGATTGGCGAATGTTCCTCTTTTTAGGGAAGTTTTTGACTATGATGGGGAGGCTTCTGGGAATGCCTTGAGAATAACCCATTCTGGGTGGGGCAAGAACAGGCATTTCCTGCAGATTCCAAAAAGGACCGTGAATGATAGCATGCTTCTTGCCTGATGACCCTCTTACAGTATACTTGGAGAGGAAGGGTAAAGGGACTCCAGGCAAGGATGAGTCTTTACAGGGAACATGTCAAGACCCCCGCAGACTCTGCCTTCTGGGGACCTCTCACATAACAGAGGCGGCTAGGTTTATTTGCACAGGTATTTCCAGGCTCTTGCTGTCCTGCAGGTGGTGGGTGGCTGTTATTCCAGAGTTGTGGGGCACTAGAGTTCCATCTGGCCTTGACCAGCGTTTGTGTGAAAGGCTTGAGAGTGGACTCTGGTGTGCTATAGAAACAACTCCTAGCCGGGCGCCGGTGGCTCACGCCTGTCATCCTAGCTACTCAAGAGGCTGAGATCTGGGGATCATGGTTGAAAGCCAGCCCGGGCAGGAAAAGTCCGTGAGACTCATATCTCCAATAAACCACTCAGAAAACCAGAAGTGGTGCTGTGGCTCAAGTGTTAGGGTGCTAGCCTTGAGCTGAAGGGTTGAGGGACAGCACCCAGGCCCAGAGTTCAAGCCCCACTACAAAAAAAAACAAGAAAGAAACGACTCCTGTGTCATCCAACAGCCACCTGGTGCCTCATGTCCCCTGGTGGCTCTGTGGTGGGTCTGTCGGGGTTGAAGTCCTGTCTTTGGTGGGTACCAGCTCACACCGGAAACCCATGGAGCAGGGCTTCTGGTCAGGCCTAAGGCCCTCCCTGAGACTCTTCTTACCACCCTCTCAGTCTGAGCTGCTCTTCAGAGGACTCCCTGCTGGTCTACAGGAAGCCAGGACCACTGTGTGGCTTGCCTGTTGTCCTTCATTTCCCAGCCTGTGTCCTGGGGCCCATTAAAGAGATTTGATTGGGCCTCTCCTGGGGATCGGAGCGGGACGTGCAGGGAGGGAGCCAGGGCAAGAACAGCATCCTGTGTCCTTCAAGCTCGCCCGAGTTGGTGCCAAAGGTTTCCGAGAGCGTGGCCGTGGGGCTGCAAGTGGGCCTTGCACGGCAGGGTTGAGGCGGGTTCCCATCCGCACACTCGCGCTCTGCACGAGTGGGGGTGGGGGGTGGCACAGCTCGCCAGAGTGGCCCGGCCGGGGCCCTTGAAGCCGGCGGCACCCTAGCAGTAACGGGGCTGTCCAGCTCCCCCCCCCCCCCGCTTCTCCCAGCACAAACCCACACATTACCGCCCCCACCCTGGGCACCCCGCAGCCTGTGCTGGCCTCGCTCACACACACCCTTGGCAGGGCCCTTCCGCGTGCCCCAAAAGCCGGGGGTCGCTCCAAGGTGTCTTTTGACCCAAGGGAAAGGCCAAAAAGAGAGAAAGAAAAACAAAACTAGTAAAGAGATTTGATTGGGTTTAAGATAGCTCGAAGGCTATAGGAAGTACAGGTGCAGGCTGTCTAGGAGCTGATTTTAGGTCAGAAGATCTGCTGTGCCACCCTGTTCTTGTCCTGTCCTGTCCTGACCAGGATTCTTAGCGACTACATTCTTACTGCCACCCCCTCTGTTCTGGTGGCAGCATGCAGTGGAAGCACTCTGGAAGGCGGTCTCAGACCTGCTGCAGCCAGATCGGCCTCCAGAGGCCCGGCACGCGGTGCTAGCTCTGCTGAAGGCCATCGTACAGGGACAGGTGAGGACCACGGCTGGACGGCTGGGCGTGATGCCAGGTCTCCTGCCATTGGTTGGGTTGCCAGGTAGGGTGGTTAACCCGTGTCTGTGGGATCTGGGCCCTTGTTGGAGCTTCCCGAGTTTCCGTCTTATTGGGATGTTTTGGGGTGGTAGGAGGGGATTCGTGGCATATCATCTTGCTGTAGCTCCAAGTCCCCCGGCCCATGCCACTCACTCGAGTCACTACATTAGAGCTGTGCAGGCCTTGCCTGAGCCTTAGACACCCCGGCTTCCCTTCTGATCCTGCCTGGAAGGCTTCTCCAGCACCCATTCTCTTCTTTCCTAGCCTGGCTGCTTGGAGAGGCTTGTCTGTTCTGTTCAAGCCCTTTGTGGTGCTATAGTGCTTTCGGTGTTTGTGATATGAACATAGACATGTTTACCCTGGGCCAGGATAGGTGCCGTTATCCCCTGCTATGGGCTCCCATTGTGCCCAGAACCTATCGCAGTAGATGCCTCCCCACCGCCAGCTGTGCGCTGAGCCCCACTCACATCCTGAGCTGCCCCTTGAGAAACGCAGGCCAGTTCTGGGGACTCTGCGCTCACGCTCATTCCATTTGTTCCTTGGTAGTTTTGTGGAAGACCCTAGCAGGGCTCTGCTGACTCTGGTTCTGTCTTCAGGGTGACCGCCTGGGGGTCCTCAGAGCCCTCTTCTTTAAAGTCATCAAGGATTACCCCTGCAACGAAGACCTCCATGAAAGGCTGGAAGTTTTCAAAGCCCTCACTGACAATGGGAGACACATCACCTATTTGGAAGAAGAACTAGGTGGGTGGTGCTCTGTGGGGTGTGAGGTTTCTCTGGCCTTGGGTCCAGTTTACCCCAGGCCCAGGAGGGTGCTGTGTTTTGCAAGGAGTATCCTGCAGAGGATGCAGCATCATGCACCCGCTGTCCACAGACTCAGGACTCGGAGTTCCGCAGGAGAAGGGTCCATGAGGGGCTGGCGGGTGCATCTGTCATTGGAGAGGGTGCCGTGGACTTGAAGGCTTTGCTGGCTTCTTACCCACCTTGCTGACCTCCCTCTCCTCCCCTGACATTAGAAGGTTTTGGCCAATTTGTTATGGGGAGGAGAAGTAAGAGGAGTCAGTAAATCTTTTTCTGCTTCTGCCCCTCTGTGGCGTACCCCCTTCCCTCCCCCCCCCCCCCCC